CTCTGGTCTAGCTGGATTTGTAAGGTAGAATTGGGGTCATGGTGGGGTGGGGGGGAGCATTAAAGAACCAGAGGAATGGTGTAGGTTCTGTTGGTACTATACTGCACCCTTGCTGGTCATCTCTTTCTTGTAACCCTTTTGTGAGGGAATGTCCACTTGTCTGCAGATAGGCTTTGGCTTTCTACTTGACCCCCCTCCCCGTTTGCATCTATATGATTGTTCTGGGTCTTCTGATGCCTAATACCTGGTCCCATCAACATTTTATGATCACACAGGTTGGTGTGCTTCTTCCATGTGGGATTCATTGCTTCCCAGCTAGATGGTCACTTGTTTATCTTCAAGCCTTTAAGACCCCAGATGCTATATCTTTTGATAGCCGAGCACGATCAGCTTTCTTCACCACATATGCTTATGCACCTATTTTTTCTTCACTGTTCGTGTTGGGAAGGTGAGCATCACAGAATTCCAGGTTATTAGAACATATGTGTTGAGGGAGGACTTGAGTAGAGGCCCAATATTCATCTGCTACCTTATTATTTAACATACGATATATATATACAGAGCTATGTTCCTACCATTATATATTTTTACATATGTATGTGCCTGTATTTATACCTCTGTAAATGTCCTTTGCCTCCTAGGTCTTTCCTATATTTCTTTTTACTTTCCTCCTGTCCTACTATCCTGTTTGACCTTCATTCAGCTCCCAGTAATATTGAGTCTTCTGATCCATGAGCATGGGATTTACTTCCATTTCTGGAGGTCACACTTGGTTTCTTGTAAGAGTGTTCTATAATTTTCCTCCTAAAAATCTTTTAGATTTTTTGGTCAGGTATATCCCTAGATGTTTCCATTTGTCTTTGGTTATTGTAAAGGGTACTACCCTTTTGATCCTTTCGTCTACGGTCTTGTCCAACGTACATAGCAGTCCAATGGACTTCTGTTTGTTGATCTTGTATCCTGCTACTCTGCCATATTCTTCTATCACTTCCAGCACTCCTCTTGTGGAGCTTTGGGTATTTTTCATATATAAAAAATCATACCATCTGCAAATAACTACAGTTTCATCTCTTATTTCCCCAGATGAATACCTTTGATGCCTTTTCGTTGCCTTATGTTGCTAGCTAGGACCTCCAGTATGATGTTAACTAAGAGTGGGGACAAAGACATTCTTGTCTGATTCCCTTTTTCAGTGGGATTGTTTTTATCTTTTCTCCCTTGACTTTTCTCCGTGCTGGCAGTTGGTTTTTCACACAGAGCTTGTATTATATTGAGGCATTTTCCTTCCATTCTGTGATAGGTAGGTTTATTGTGACAACCTGGCCAATAGGAGCATGTGAGATTAATAAGGTCACAGTTTGATTGGAAGGCAAAGAGATAAATGGCTCAGCAAGGCCTGCCCCTCGCTCTCATATTCTTTGGTGACCGGACCAGCTTGGAGCTGCTTTAGTTTGTCTTCTCCCTCAACTTGTGAGCTACACTAACTGTGGGACAGTCAACCCATGGAGCGCGTCACTAGAGTTTGAGGTTCCTTTGAGACGGCTTCACCACACTGCTGGTGTGTACATCGCTTGAGCTTGAGGCTGGTGGATCCTGTTGTCTTGCATGGCGTGAGCTCAATAACCCATCTGGGCCTGCTTCTCTAACCTCCTGAGCTGCTGACTGTTGGTGACCAGCCCTGTTGTTTGCTTCCTGTGGGCAGACTCTGCCTGCATTGCCCATGAGAAGACTTACCTGTCTGATTCCTTGACTGTGGACCCAGCAGCCCTCATGAGTTGAACGACTTCTAGTATATTAATTATTCAACAGAAGTGATTTTAAATGAGCCTTCTGTACTGGTGTGTGGACTAATTAGCTGTTATATTACTTCATGCAGTATATATCTATCCTCTTTTGTGTGTGTGTCTGTGTGTGTGTGTGTGTGTGTGTGTGTACACATATCATAAGTGTCCTGGTTTTGTTTCTTTAGAGAAGCCTGCCTAACACAATTGATACCAGGAGTGGTTCTAGAGAAACAAAGTCATAAATATGGGATTCTCAAATTGGCTCTCCAGCCTGATTAGGCTTAACAGAACGAATAATGCTGTCTCTACCCCTAAAGGCTTGGATAAGTTAGCCACCATTACTAGAGAGGGTGGTGTTAATCCAGGGTGCGAAGTCTCAAAGCTAATATTCACAGTATCACCACCAATAGATGAAGTGCTGGTGAAAAGAGAGGCTCTGAGTGAAAATATCATGTGTCTGATATTTGCCAGCAGTTTTGTCAGGATACGAAGTATAGGGAAGCTGGTTAGCTGGTCCTCATTAAAACAGAAAATATGATCAAGCAAAGGGATAATATCAGAACCCCGAAAGCACGTCTCAAGTGCTGAGTAACAGAACTAAAAGCTCCTCCATGTTTTACAAAGGAAAGTCTTCTCTCCTACTAATAGAGCTGACATTGCTGAAAACCAAATCCAGAGTCCCATCATATGAGTAGCTGAATTTCAGTGTCAGCTGAATTGCAGATCTAGAGCAGTGTCCGATATTAAAATAAGAGCATTAATTGGAAAGAATTGGGACCCTGAAACATGGGATGGGAACATATGGGCTGATGATCCAGAAGAGGAGGATATAGAGCCCCTTGAGTTGTTTGAGCCAACCCAATCAATAGTTCCACCCCTCCCACTTGAGGGGATTAATCCACTATCAGTAAAACGACTCACACTGGAGCATATTAACCAAACTGTTCAAGCTTAAAGTCCAGATGGGGCTGCATCTGTAGCATTGCCTGGGGGAGATGCCTTAGAAGATATTACTGAGAACCCCTAGGAAACATCCCCACCACCAATTATTTCCTCTAGACCAATAACTAGAATTAAGTCTCAGAAAGTTCCTAAAGGTGAGGTTCAGATGATGCCTCAGGAAGAAGTGCTCTATACTCTTAAAGATCTGCTGGAGTTTTCTAATACGTACAAG